ACTAAGTGAAGGGGGCCATTTTCAACAATTTTTCTAATCATTTCGTTGGTTTTAATGTTTTGTTTATATTGTCAGTTGTTGTTGTTCATTACCCCTAATGTGTTTAATATTTCCAATTAGATTAATAATAATTTTGAAGTTAGACAATAGAACGGTTTTTATTTTTTTACTCAAAAATGGCGCATCGAAGGTAAGCAACTCAATAGAAATTATTTGTTTTAAATTGAACGGGAAATTCAAAAATAATTTTTATTTGGCAAAAAACCATTGGCGTACCATTTTTTTCTTAAAAAATATCGAAGTCAATACCCGTACGCACGCCACTGTTGAAGCTAAAAATTATTTTTGCATTGAATAATATGCAACTTTATTAACTTCCGCTACGTACTAAATATCAGAGAAATATCCTAAGCGGTTCTGAAAATATTAATTAATTTCCATTTTTTTTCCTGTATTTATATACAGGGCTTTATAGCCGATCGATTACTCCCGTTCGAGCTGTTTGTCAAATGAATTTTCAAAGGAAATTTGACTATATGCTCCAATCCTACCACAGCTTAGATAACAATCAGCTATGAAACTCTCTTGTCAGTGTCAAAAACAGCCGCCATTTCGGCGAAGAATGTCGAATGTAAATTCCCCCAGTACAACGATGACAGAGGTTTCAGCGTTCCGTAATGTGTAATCCTAGGCGGTGTTGCCGCGTACCATAATATGCGTTGCAAAAAGTAAAAAAGAAGCGATGAAGGATTAATGATTATTTATTTAAGAAAAAGCTTCAGAATAAATTTGTAATTGTGGAAGTCTATCAGTATTTACAATAAACGGAAAAGTATTCACTTTCGTTTGATATATTTATATAGAAGAAATGAAGGAACTAGACGGAAACATCTCTTCACCCCTTCACATTTTACAGCAGTAACATTTTTGGAAAATGATGCTATGATGGTACCATAGAATTGGCCCCTGTCATTTCATTTTGAGAGTCCGGTCCTTGGAATATGATGACATTTTCGCAAATTTAAGCATCAATGTCTGTAGCACGGCATCGCGTGACGTGCGTACCCTTATAACGCGTTTCTTTTGCATTTTTTGGTCAGCAGTTCAAATCCCATCCGCACCCGGAGATTTGTTATTTTTTTTTCCAGGCACTGTTCTCGTAGTAGTAGACTTATATTTTTGCCATAGATGGCAGAAAAAAAATAAACCATTTTATAGATAAAAATTTCATTGAAATTTCCAGTCTCTTGCTCTAGTGTGAGTAACAAGTTTTGAGCATATACTTTGTTGTTTTTTCATATACAAATAAATATTAATTTTGAACAAATATCCTCCTTTTTTATTAATTATTGGTTCAAACAAACTACTCAAGGTCATAATCGCAATATTATAATTTTTACGATTGAACGCATATGGTGTATGTCGCCGCTAGAATGGTAAGCGGCAATACCGTTGTTGAACAGCGGATTTCTGGAAAAAATTACTCCAATTTATTCAAAAAATCTAAACACCAAATGCTATAAACACCAAATGCTATAAACTAATAAATAATCATACGATTTGATTTTGAAATAGGTCACAATAAAAGAATTCAATAGAGAGTCAAAGAAAAAGAAAATATTGTCGGATACGGATGGGATTTGAACCGCTGACCAAAGAAATGCAGAAGAATCCCGTGATTAAGGTTACGCACGCCTCAGGACGCTAGGCTAGAGATATCTACTGGCATATTCAAATTTGCGAAAGTGCCATCATATTCCAAGGACCGGCCCCTCCTATGATGATTTATGTGAAAAAGAATAATAATATTTCTTAAAACTTTCAATAAGTGTTCATGTAGTCTCAAAATGAAATCTGCGGCAGAATTCTTTGATACCAAAATAGCATCATTTTAAAGAAATGTTACTGCTGTTTTTGTCTGCTTTCCTTAATATCTTCTACTTAAATATGTATATCCAACAAACGTAAATATTTTTCCGTTTATTGTAAATACTGATAGCCGTCCTTAAACAAATTCGTACTGAAGCTTTTTCTTAAATAAATAATGATCAATACTCATTAGGTCATATCGCAATAAAATAATTTTTAGGATTAGAACGCTAGCATGGTACGCTGCAACACCGCCTAGGACTACTCAATACGGAACGCCGAAACCACTTTCATCGTTGTTCTGGCGGACGTTTTAGACAGCGACAGAAGAGTTTCATAGCTGATTGTTATTTTCTAAGCTGTGCTACTACTTCCATAAGGGTCGTTTGGAAATAATCTTGCAAAGTTAATTTCACCGGCCTATTTGTTCTAATCCACCCTGAGACATCGACTACTTCTGGCAGAGCTGCTTGCTAAATAAATGTAAAGTTAATTTCAGTATCTTCAAGACGCTCGAAGGCATCAACTATTCCCATTCGAGCTTTTGCCAAATTAACTTGCAATTTTAAATTCACAGCAATGTGTATGCTTTAATCCGCTCGAGGACATCGATTGTTCTGATTTAAATTTCTGGAATATCGAATATAAGTTCCCCATAGTATACCTATAGTACATCTTAATGCTAAAGAAAATGCCCAGATTTTTTGTAACACCCGTAGTATCCCTGCTGTCAACAGATAATTTCGATCACCACCTGGCAATTAGCCCACCTGGCAGTTAGCATGCGGTACATACATACAGTTAACTACAAGATAAGTCTTACCTGGGTATTGCTAAAGAATCCCTTAGGACATAAGAGTCAATGAGGGCTGTAACCTCCCGCGCGTCCAAAATATGCTAGTCTCACCTTCTTTTTTCGTTTACACGTATCTTTTTCCCATTTGTTTGTTTTCTCTGACAAAATAAGGAGTTGGGCAATTTTATACACACTGTATATGTATCTCTACTTCACGCTGTAGTTTTACCTGGATTCACAAGGAGTCGGACGAAAACGATATGATGCTGTCCTTGAAATCATTATTTAAATTCATATTTTTAAATAAGTTAGACGGAAAAATAAAACATCTATTAAAAACGTTTTATTGAATTTCCAAAAATGATCAATAGTGCCAATAAATAACATTTTAAATCTCAGAAGGCGCTTTAATCGTGGCACTTGCCATCTGATGTGGGGCACATTAAGCAAAAGCTTAATCAAAATCGAAATCTACAAACGTCTTATTTTGACATAATAGCTTTGCTGAAAAATAAATAGATGTCACGCCATGTTCTGCTAAGTGCCATCTTTTGGACGTATGAAAACTAAATACAGAACCTGAAAATGTTTAATTTTGAGAGGAAAATATAAATACTTTCCTTTGTGTCTAAGAGATGGCGTGTGTCCAAATTTAAGCGGCATCTAGCAAGTCGTCATTATAACATTAGACAACAGAGGACAGAAACTTTATTCTGACAGATCCAGATGACGTACAATAAAAGACGACAAATTTTTAGTGTATATGCAAGGTTGCCGCATTGAGGGATTTTCCCACAAATTTGAACGTTTTTTGATGAGGAATTTTTGGGACATAAAATGTTCTGGGAAATTAATTGGGGCAAAATAAAACGTTTGGGTATTTTTGAAGTTAGTGTTTAATTCAATTTTTAGCCACACAAAAGTATGCACTTTCCTCCTGGTCGCACTCACATCTATCTACCTGTCTCCACAACACATCTACAGTGCCAATAATTGTATGTTGCTAGACCTGCATCCATAGTCATAGAGGATAAAAAAGAGAATAGTAAGATGGAACCGCATGAGTATTACGTGTCTTGAAAAGTGACATTTCGTCGGTTTTCTTATATTTCGTAGATTTTCTATGAAATGTAGGTTTTTCTACAACATGTTAACTAAAATCAAATCCAAGCGAATAACCAAAATTTCTGTGTTATGTGATGCGGTTATAATATGGTTCAAGATGACACACGGGTTGATGACGTCAGTTACAAGAATCGCTTGAACGCGTTGGTTTTAACCGCGGTTTTGTTGCAAGTTGTTTATTTTAGAAAAGTGCGTATATAAACTCAAATTATGTTTATTATCACTTAATAATCGGTGCTTTTTTGTCTACAGCGGTTTATGAAAAGTTTAAATAAGAAACCTTTCATAATATTCATGGGAGAAATGTTTTTTTTCTTCAGAAACATTTTTTTAATTATGGAACCATGGTTTTGTAGCTATGATAACTTTCAATTCTCTAAAGTTTTCCGCATGTCAAAGAAAACATTTATTGATTTAGCAGAAATGATGAAAAAAGATATTAGCAAAACCGTATACAGGTGGACATCATCCAGTGAGTTAAATTGCGATATTTTAATATTTTTGTGGTATATGGCTACACAGGATACTTTGTTAAACGTAGGAACTAGATTGAAAGGGTTCCCAACAACAGTAATGAGTATAACTAATAAGGTGCTCCACTTTATGCTAACACTGAAGTCAGCCTGTATCAAGTTTCCCAAAAATTAAGCTGAAGTACAATAACACTATCCAATACCCGGCAAAATTCTAACTTGTCACATTTCAAATAATAACCAGAAATATAAAACTATTCCTGAGTTGGGTAAATACCACAATTTTGCGGTGATAACTGTGACATATAACAGCTGATTCATGACGTCACGGATCTTATAACCAAACTGATAACCACACTCGCTTGAACGGATCGGTAAATACCAACCCAAAATGGTAAATACATTTTCATTTTTTTATCCGCTTGAATTTGATTTTTGTAGCTGTACGTGTTGCTTAAACGTCAGCAATCGTAGCCTGCAAACGTTTTTTTTACCGTCGGTTGATCTAGCTCACACGTGTTTCGAGAGGAAGAAACTAGATGTGGACTCATCTTCTCCGAAATGTTGCACGGATTTACTCATCTTGTAGATTCTCTAGTCTGCGTTTCCACAATCCCCAAATGGCGAATGCGCTTATCATTTTGAGTTCATGTGCAACCCCGGAACGAAAACATAATTATTTCACAGAGTATTTATATTAGAGTTGGATACAAACTGTAACTTCCTTTTGATGAATCGTCTAATTCTCGCGGGTATGGCCGTAAAAACTAATCAGCTAGAGAACAACTTAAAGGTTTCACGAGTTCGTTCTGTTTCGATTCTGGGGGAATTCTGTCTGTCTGACCCATCTGGCAACGCTGTGTATATGTTTTGTGACGTGCTCCCGCCAGCCCGCCACTCGTGTTTGGCAGTGCCGTTTGAATTTTTATGTTTACTTTTTTAAGAGGTAGCTTTTTGTAACAATTTTATTTCCTGTTGAAGTTTTCGTGTTATTTACGAGGAGCAACACAAATTTTATTTTAGATCTGCCGAAATCCATAAATTTACGTATAGAAACACATTCTAACTTAACATACATTACTTCTAGTTAGAACTGTTCTCTTAGCTTTAATTTTAACACTTTGGTACATAATGGCCAAAGCCAAAGCAGCCCCCAAACGTAAAGCAGCAACCGGCTACAAACTAGCGGAGCACATACCAGCTGGAGAAATACTACAAGACATTAGTAAAACGAAGTGGAAACTGGGGCCTTCCATAGGGCATGGAGGCTTTGGCGAAATATATTCTGCCCAAGACTATTCAAAAGGTGGCAGCAAGTATCCCTTTGTCATAAAAATTGTAAGTAATATAAATATTAGCTATAGTTTTGTGAGAAAATACAATTCAACTTTTTAGGAACCCCATGAAAATGGACCCTTGTTTGTGGAAATGCATTTTTATATGAGGAATGCCAGATCTTCAGATAGTAAGTTGAAATTTAATGTCTTATAGTGTATTTCAGGTTGAACATTGCATATTTATAATGGGAACATATTAGCTTGTTTCAGCTATTTTAAATATCCTCAGGAACACATGCCAGTTAGAATAAATGGCTTACTGTAATTGTATCCTATGGTTTGTAGTTTGGTTGACTTACTGGTTAGATTTCCATTCTTGGAATCACTTGGCACTTTCTGGATAAGATACAAATAGGATATCTAGTCCAAATGTCCAAAACAGGTATCTACATGTTGGTTTGAGGGTGCAGGGCATCTTTTAGGAGTGGGAATGTTTGTTTTGGACACCAAATTCCAGTCACCTTCATATCACTATCACATAGTAAGGAAGGGAAACTGATAGTCATACTTACCTGTAAAAGGATTTCAATCTGAGAGGTCATAATGGAGGAGGTGTTAAAGCCCCCAAAATTAGAGCTTAAATCCCAACACAAAGGTTTTAATCTCTATCATCATCAACCATATTTGGCTTTTGAAAGATGCTAACACCATTGATGAATAATGAAAATGAATGAAGCATGAAGTTTATATGTAGGCGTAGAAGACAGATCACTGTTTTTTTTTCTACCTTAGAACATAACAGCATTTTATATCTCCCACCTGGTTAGAAATAGAGTTCCTTTCATTAGTAGCTACAAGACAATGAAGATCCCATCTTCTTCGGACCCATCAAGGAGGTTGATTTCACCTCTTGAATGTCAAAAATGTGGTTTTTTGCCTTTTTCACCTAGGCAGAAAAATAATTTACATTCTAAAAATGAATCAGAAATGTTCCTTTCATTACTAGCTATAATACCATTTAGATCCCATCTACTTCGGACCCGGTTGACTTCACTTGAACGTTAAAACTATGTTTTTTGCATTTTCCACCTATCCAGAAATAACGTTATAGGCTAAAAATAATTCAAAAGTGTTCCTTTCATTAGTAGTTATAAGGCCTCCTAGATCCCATCTTCTTAAGACCCGTCGTAAGGGTTGATTTCACCTCTTGAACATCAAAAATGTGTTTTTTTGGCATTTTTCACCTAGCCAGAAAAAAATTACAAGCCAAAAATAAATCAAAAGTATACCTTTCATTCGTAGATATAAGGCCACATAGATCCCATCTTCTTTCAACCTGTCAAAGGGGCTGGCTTCACCCCTTAAACGTAAAATTGTTTTTTCTGCATTCGCCTAGCCCGAAAAAAGTTACAGGCTAGAAATGAATCGGAAGTATTCCTTTCATTAGTATATATAAGACCACCTAGGTCCCATCTTCTTCGGACCCGTCGAAGGGGTTGACTTCATCCCATGAACATGAAAAATGTTTTTTGGATTTTTCACAAAACCAGAAGAAAGTTACAGGCTAAAAATGAATAAAAAGTGTTCCTTTCATTAGTAGCTGTCAGATCATTCAGATACGATCAGATACGTCAAAAATGCGGTTTTTGCATTTTTCATCCTCCCAGAAAAAAGTTACAGGCTAAAAATGATTCAAAAGTGTTCCTTTCCTAAGTAGCTTTAAGCTTTTGATTTATTTTTAGCCTGTAATTTTTTCTGGTTAGGTGAAAAATGCAAAAACACATTTTTAACGTTCACATAGTGAAGGCCACCCCTTCGACGGGTCCGAAACAGTGTCCCAATAGCTACTAGTAAAACACTATTCATTTATTTTTAGCCTGTAACTCTGTTTGTAACTAGGTGAAGGATATAAAAAGCTGCCTTATGTTACGAGGGTGTAAACTACCCCTGCGTCATAAAAAAAACAATGACGCCTACATATAAACTATGTGCTTTATTTATTTTCATTATTCATCAATTGTGTTAGCTTCTTTGAAAAGCTGCATTCCTCTTTCTAAATATTTTTGCACAAAGGGTGGAACTACCCTTTTCGAGGTAGCATGTTGCTAAAATTAGCTAGAAATACAATGCAATCATTAGAAAGTTAGTAGTTAGTACAAAAAAATGGCTGCTGAAAATTAGCTGCTAACTTCACGCTAATGCCCGGAAGAATTGGCTGTTAGAAAGTGATTGCCAAGTCATAATTAGTTTTAAAATCTTGAATAAACTTGGCATACCTTTGGACTCATTCCTAGCTTGAAAAGTAAATTCAGAAGAAACCTCCAAATCCAATATTTGATGTATAGTGTTATGCTCTTGTTATACCAATAGAATTGCTTTGCAAAGGTAAATGTTGCCAACAGGCAGAGAGAAATTATAATTGTAAAATTTTGAATGTGTTGATATTGTTTCTTTATTGCAAATATATGCCTTTAGTTTTTATTCCATTCTGATGACAATTCAACCAAACATATGAAAGATGTATATATTGCAGAAAACAGTCCAGTGACAGCAAAATTATGGAAGTTAAAAACAAAACACCATCAAATAGTCCCATAGTCCAAGGTGAAACTTACTATGATAGGAATTTCATTGTAATTAAAATTTTAAAATACTCTACACTTTTAAGTTTCTTGAATCCACCAGGCATTTTGATGAAACTTCAAAAGAAGTACACCTGAGATAATTCGATTTTCCATATGTGCAAGATTCAAAGTTAGATTTATAATAATGTTGAGAAATACGAATTCGATCTACGCAACTTCATTTTTCAGTTACCGTTAGTGATACTGAATAAACAATCCAGTTATGTAAAAGTGAATGTGAATTAAACATTTCCTGATAGAGGACCAAAAAACGTGTCTTCACTGTCTCAAAAATGCTTATTAAAATAAATAATGTACTTTTTCAATAACAATGCAAAAATAATACTGGTATACAAGCATACACATTTAGAATAAGGAGACTAAGTGACATAGAAAATGCAACACCGACTAGGTAATTTTGAGCATATTTAAGTTTTAGGTCTACTGATAAAAAGAAAATGATTAAAATTTTAACTCAAAGTTTCGCAAAATAGCTAAGATATTATTATTATTATTATTATTATTATTATTAAACAACAAATTTGAGTTGAGTACAAGTACTATAAACTCAAACACAAAAATAGATAATAGTGTACAGACAAAAGAAATATAACAATTTGACAATCTTAGCACTTCTGAAGTAGACATATACAGAATGGGAATAATATGTTAAGCACTGCGGTGTCTATCGTAATTGTTTTTGAAACTGTTGACGGATTCCGAGTTCACTACATAAGATGGAAGACTGTTCCATGCATCGAAGACACGGTTTGAGATGAAGCGCTGACGAGTAGAGGTTCTAAAAGCTTCCTTCTGCAATTTGAAGTTATGGCCTCTGAGACTGTTCGTTGCCAGACGAAACAGATGCGACATGTCCACACCAAACAAATTATGCAGTGCTCTGAAAGTGATGATGAGATCTCCTCGTACTCTTCTATCAGCAAAAGCAGGCAGGTTATATAGCTCGAGGCGGTCTTCATAACTTGGCCTACGTGTGCCATATGGCATACGTGTAGCACGACGCTGAACGGCCTCTAATAAGCTGCTATCGCGAACAAGGTTTGAATCCCATACCGGACCAGCAAACTCCAGTAGGGGTCGTACGAAAGTTGTGTACAAAAAGGAGGAGGTACTAACGGTGCAACCGCTAAATGACCTTTCCATCATATATAGCAACCGCTTTGCCTTAGAGGTTATGTTCTGAATGTGCTCCGACCAGGTGAGCCGGCCATTAACTGTCAGACCAAGATCTGTATGATGAAGAACAGTCTCTAAGGTATGTTTGCCAAACGTATATGTTAAGTTAGGATTATTCTTTCCCAGGTGGAGAACGTAGCATTTCGATAGATTTAAAGGCAGGAGCCAGAGTTCTGACCACTTTCTGATCAGCTTGAGGTCTTCTTGAAGCACAGATAAGTTCATGACAGTGTTATAGACTTTAGTATCATCTGCATAGATGGAACACATAGAATAAAGTCGGGTGGGAAGGTCGGTTGTATAAAGAAGAAAAAGTATTGGCCCTAGCACAGATCCTTGTGGAACTCCACTAGTAACACGATGACTAGAAGAATAGGCGTCTCCAACACGGACGGAGAAAGATCTGTCTAACAAAAAAGCTTCAATCCATAACAACAAATTTCCCCTGATTCCGAGATGTTCAAGCTTGTGCAGGAGCCTTTTATGCGGAACTCGATCGAAAGCTCTGGAAAAATCCAGAAAAACCACGTCGACCGGTTCATTTGTATCTAAAGATCTGGTCCAATTGTCAATGCAGTGTAACATGTTGGTGATAATTGATCTACCAGGAATAAAACCATGTTGGTTGCTAGGCAGCAGGTTGTTCTTGAACGCAAATGTCATAAGTTGTTCCTGGACGATCTTTTCGGCTATTTTCGCAGCTATAGGCACAAGACTGATAGGACGGTAGTTTTTCGCAGATGTTTTATCTCCTTTTTTGTATATAGGTGTCACAGATGCAGTACGCCAACAGGAAGGAAGGATGTGATTTTGAATCACACCTTAATGTTAATAATGCGTTGAAGCTTCTGTGTTCGCTACACATTCGTTAAGTCATCGCGGCATTAGGTGATTGATGTCTTCTTGGTGTATTGTATCCCGGGCCTTCTGAATCTGGTTTCGTAAAGCCTCCAATGTTTGTGGAGGGTGCGGACAATTTTGCAACATTCTTCCCATCATGTCCCATACATGTTCGATGGGAGAAAGTGTATAACACGTGCGACATGAGGTCGTTCATTGTCCTGCTGCAAAAGTGGATCTTGCAATGTTTCCAAAAAAGGAAGCAGATGTGGCTTCGTCGATAGAGCGCTGGGCAGTCATGCTACCTCGAATGAACACTAATCGTGACCAGCTGCCGTAAGCAATCGCACCCCATACCATAACATCCCCAGTGCGATGAATATGCCGTTCGATGGAATATTGTACGTCTCCTCCTTACTCTGGTACGGCCATCATGTGTGCCGTAACAGAATCTGTACTCATCGCTGAGTTCCATTCCATATTCCATTCAAGTCTCTCCCTACTGCATACCAATCGTTGCCGACAATGTTGTGGAGTCAGAAGTACAAGATGGGGACGGTATGAAAACAGTCCAAAAGACCTTATTCTTGGAACCATGCTCGACAACATCTCATTACAGCAGCTTCGTTTCGATTCACCCGATTAGCGATTTCTCTAAAAGAAAATCCGGCTTCACGTAACCCGATTATCCGACCCCTCTCAAACTCGAAAAGTTGAGTGAAATTAGCGCGTCTCCGAACTCTAGGCATGATAATGTAATGAAACAACTGGAACCAACACTTAAAAATCACTGAATATTAATTAAACATTTTCATATTGTTTGGATACTGAAATGACAAAAAAAACCTTTACAAAAAAAGTACGGCTCGGAATACCTTCAACATTTTATCAGCGTATACTTCTATGGTAGCAAATATGTTTATAAGTTTTTATCAAAATCAATAAATAATTCTGAGTGTTGCATGTTATATGACACTTAGTATGTATAGATTTTTTACTAATTTACCAGTGATTTTGGGAGACGTACTTATCTTTTCATAGTTCATTCATTAATATTTGAATTGCAGTTGACCAGTTTAAAAAAGACCACAACTTGAAAACATTTGGTATGCCTATTTACTATGGTTCGGGATCCCATGAATATAAAGGAGTTAAATACAGATTTCTAGTGATGGAAAAATTTGGAGCAGATATATGGAAGAAATTTCTCGAGAACAACAGAATATTTCCGAAGTCTACAGTATTCAAAATTGCGATTCAAATAGTAAGTTATGCAGCACCTAGATGACATTAAATATGTGATGTGCAATTATCAGATTGACAGATATGCTTTATTGTCTGAAGAATGCAATCATTCTTAATGACTAAGCTAAATTAAAGCTTAACAAAATTACATAGGTATGTGGATCCCACGTAAATCAATTATAGTACTCACACATTTTATTATGTGGTTTACAAATAAGGAGTTTTGAAGTTCTCTGCAAAATATCTTCAAATTGTTGATTGTTTCGGTATCACCAAGGAGGCAAATGTAAAGTTTCACACCATTATAAATGATACAGGTTCTACTAATTTGAGATCTTGTTTTCATCTGATACTGTAACTTATATTTTATGTCTCAAATTTATATTTATTTAAAAAAGTAAGAGTTGCTGTTTGGGATATAAACAATGGTACGACAATCATTATTTTAAGATTTAAAAATAAATGCCTTCATGTATTTGTTAGATTAGTTTTAGTTATATATCTAATCGCTCGTTTTTGTAGAATAAGAACTTTCTTAAACAATGTTGGGAACAGACACCAAAATCTACTTTCAAATAATTCAAAGAAACTGCTTAAGGTTGTGCTTTTCACTAAGTTGTAACTAATTGTTATTATATTAAAGGAAATCTTTGCTAGTCGAGTAAGCAATAGGTCTACATGATTAGTAAAATTTAATTTAAGATCAATGGTCTGTCCAAGAATTTGATGATGTCTATTTTATACAGGGTGTCCCAAAAATAACACGCCAGAGTGACACGGGAGGTAGATTGGCTTCAGATCAATCAGATCAAATCAACATGACCTTTGTAAAAGTTTTCTAGTTTTCGAGATGCCACTTTTATGTTTTTTTCAAAAAATCCCTACTTGTTTCTCTTTTTTTTCTTCTTCTAACTTATGATTTTTTCCTTGGCTACCATTAATAGTATTCTTTTCATTGAAAACGGCACGGTATGCTGAACGTTTCTCATGGTGACATAATTCTACCGACCGAACAGTGAATGTGAGAGCGAGATAGTCAATGACATGTTTAGGTCGTTACATTCCTTAGTGGTTTGGATACAAAGAACGATTGCACTTAATTTTTATATGTAGTAATTCGCAAGTATTATGAAAAACGAAAAACTTGGAATTATTCAATGTTTAGTAGAAAGAACCTACAAATGTTATACTATTTTTAAAAGAGCATTAAATAGGCTAGTTTTTAAAATAATTTGCCGATTCAATCCGTTACATTTTTTTCACAGTAATTAGTCAAACTTTAGTAAAGGTTTTCAAATTGAAACAAAATGTAATAATTATTTTTTTAGCATACCGTGCTAGTTTTCAATGAAGTGAATGCTCGGTGGTATCAACCAACTATTATTGGTTGTTCAGGAAATAAATCATAAGTTAGAAGTTCTTCCTAGCCATAACATGCAAAAAAGTAACGATTTTTTCAAAAAACTGCAAAACTTTTACTAAGGTAATGTTGATTTTATCTGATTGGTCTGGAGCCAATCTACCTCCCGTATCACTCTGGCGTGTTGTTTCTGTCACACCCTGTGTATCAAATCAATATTTAAATTTATAGAACTAAGCGAGCATACTAATTTTGAAAGTTAAGTAATTGTCACACCATTTTTTGATTTATTGAATTTATCATTTATGTTTAAATCTATTGAATCGTTAATATAAATTGAACACAGAATCGAAGCTAGTACTGATCTTTCATATTTAATACATTTGAAGTAAAATATCTTGATACTCTTATAATTTGGGATCGATTATTTAAATATGTTTTAAACCAATTGAGTGAGGTTCCAGTACAACCCTATTTTTTTTAATTTGTTCAGTAGTCCATACACAATCATAATGTTTGGAAAATTCACAAAAAGATCAATCGAAATCTGTATATTGCTTAAATTTTAGTATGAGAAAATAGCATTAATGGTATTTTCTTGTTTTTTGAAAGCCAGATTGTACAGTTATTTTATCCATACTCTTTCAAAAAATAAACAATGATTATCATTTGTGAAATATTGGAATCCTCTCAGCATGTCATCTATGTGCTTCGATAGCAACTAATGATTACATTTTTTTGGCAGTTGGATGTTCTAGAGTACATTCATATTAAAGGATATGTCCATGCTGACATAAAGGGTGCAAATATTCTACTAGCTGAAACAAAAGAGACTCAGAACAAACAAGTCTACTTGGTAGATTTTGGTTTAGCCACAAAATATACAACAGAGCCTGTTTTCAAGCCTAATCCAAAGAAAGCACATGATGGAACTATAGAATACCTTAGTAGAGATGCACATCAAGGAGGTAAGACCTACCAATGATGTATTCTATGCATTGCCAAGCTTGTAATCTAACTACAGGATTTACGTCGCCGGTGTTCCTCAAGGTTCGGTCCTAGGACCAATCCTTTATTCGCTTTTTATCCATGATGTTCCTTGCCCCAGCAACTGTGAAGTCTACCTCTATGCTGACGACACTGCACTTGTCGTCCAGTCATGTACTGGTGATCTGGTTCACGATGGGTTGCAGAGTGCGGTGGAAGAAGTACTAGAGTGGGCGGAACGGTGACTGATTAAAATTAATCATTCGAAAACGCAGGCTATTGATTGTTCCAAAAAAACGTGTACCATGGACAAATTGTGCCAAGTACCTCGGTGTCACCCTTGATAAAGGCATGACCTGGCAGAAACATACAGCAGCCTTGAAAACAAAATTCCAAATTGCGTTTCGGCAACTATATCCTTTGTTATGTAGATCCTCCAAATTGAGTTTGATGAAGTTCGCCTATATAAAATGATTATTAGACCAGCCATTACTTATGCATGTGCGGCTTGGTGTTTTCTTGCCAAGACACATATGCAAAGCCTTCGAGTACTGCAAAGTAAAACTTTGCGAACAATTTGCAACATTCCATGCTATGTCTCAAACGAGACACTACACAGAGACCTTGACTACACAGTGAAGCAAGTTCGTAAACATTCAAGGCCACGGCTCGCACTGTAATCAAAAATTAGCGCGAACTTTTAATAAACTTAAAATTACACTCTAACAAAACCGAATCAAAATTTGTTTAGTTCACTTCAAAATTAATCCGTGTACCAAGTCAAAAAGACTAGGTGTCTTCTCTTAAACTAAACAGTTCTGTTTTTCTTTGCTCTTCTCCATTTTTCTTCTCTTTCCCTTTCTCTTTTTCCTTGACATGGTCTGGTTTCTAGGCAATCAGTACTGACAGATTCGACTAACGTACATTAGACAGTGACTAATGGGCAAAGGTCCTACGGACCGCCCAGACAAACAAATGACGAATAGTAGGATTTACGTCATTTTCTTATCGTGGCTTTATTTTAGTGCCAACCAGGAGAGGTGATCTGGAAATTTTGGCTTATAATCTAATACATTGGCTGGGTGGTAGTCTACCATGGGACAAAAAGTTGTCTGACCCTAAAATTGTACAAAAAAGCAAAGAAGAATTTATAGATGCTATTTCCAAATCTGCGAAGAGTTGTTTTGGAAACAAAGCACCACCTGGTATGATTTGCGAGAGCTTGCTTGTATAAGTGTAATAATATACTCGATACTGATGAGTCGTTTGATATATTGATATATATATATAAAAAAATTTCAGGTCCCCTAATTGATTATCTGAACTACCTCAAAACACTGGATTTCAACTCTACGCCCGACTACAAGAAAATACGGAAAATATTCTTATCTGGTATAGACTCTAATGACAAGTTAGATGCACCATTGAAATTTTCTGAAACTATGAAACCAGGTGCAAAAAGAAAATCTAGAGAAGTGTCACCTCTAAAGTCAAAATCACCAATAGTGCGAATGGCCGAGAGAACTGGCATGAGATCATCTAAAAATGTATGTATATATTTGTATAGAATTTTGAACATTTTTACCGCAAAATTGATGCAAAATACCAAAATAAAAGTGCTAATCTAACGGAAGTTATCAGATCTCTAATACTTTCATATTTTTTTCTCTCAAGCCCATGATGTGTTAATTTTTTCGACCCGTTAGTTTTTCCGCCCTAAACCCTTTAATCTGGTAGGTATTTAATTAGGTATTTAATGGAAATCAAAGCTAGCAACAATTTTTTTTATTTGGGCAATTTTGAGTCAATGATAATAAGATGTCGGAACGATCTCTTTAAAAGGGATCTAATGATGTGCAACAGCGATAAGATAATTTGCTCATCTTCAATGCAAAAGTTGCCAACCATTCTTTTTGACTAGTGATGATATGTTTCGTGTTGAGATTTTTTTGTGTTTATGAAAGATTCCCTCATTGTCAAAATTGATTTAATTTTCCACAAAATTAAGACATTTTTTTTATGAGTAAACCGTCGCAGGTATTTCATAAGTTTAGATTTTTTAAACATATAAAGCGCCGTTTCTCTGTGGAATTAAGCAGCTACAATATTGAGTTTAACTTGAAACCATATTATTTTGACATTACATTTTTTGGACAGTTGTTTTACTACAAAAGAAGCACATTTGAAAGATATTGAAAAGGATATACTCGATTCGGGAGGGACTAAGCCTAAATTATTCTTTTGTACAAGAGAAGAGTTTGTTTACCGATGTTTGTTTTTTGAGTGTTCTTATGAAAGATAAAAGAACAGTATACTGGTTCAAACTCCTATAGTAGCTGCTCCATGGACTACTGTATTTTTTATGAAAAAACATGTAGTAACATCTTGTAGATAAAAAATTAGCTTAATACCTTCATACATTAAATTACCGGAGAAGACACATTTACTAGAAATATCTTAAAAATCAGGCAACTGCCTCATGCAAAAATATGCTCTAACCTTAGATATGTTTTTTACTATGCATTAATTTTTTTGAGAACATATAAGGGCGGTTTGGGAAAGACAAATGAGCTCAGACTTTAGGCATCACATTTTAAATTCTTAGGTTTATAAAAGTTGTGTGTCCTAGGTTCAGACCGATTAGATAACCGCACGAGTAATTCAATATTCGGCGAAACTGGGCATTCGGTAAAATGGGCAGAGTATGCCGTGTACCGGGTACAACTGAGTACTTCGTTACTGCTACATGTTTTTTGTAGAAAACATTTTACACCCATAGAGCAGCTACTCCCATCGATTAATGTATTCTACCAAAAGATAATAATATTTATTCACAACAATTACAAACTGTGGATAAATAGATATTCCACAAAAGGAAAATTTCCTTGTGCGTGGAAACCATTCTAACACGTAATATAACACATAGATATAACACAATAGTTACAATAAGTTGATTGATAAGGACTAGAAAAAATCGATGTAATATACAGAGAAAACCATATACCACTGACGCCGTAATGTGTACGAGATAAGAGCGAGAAGCGTGCAAAACGCGTGTTAGAAAGAGATAGAAGAACCTCGTTGCCTAGCAACTCCAATGACAATACACTAATTTTGAATCATAGATCAGTAATGCGGAAAAGATATTTATATGTTAGAGTTAAAAAAAGTCGTATAACTCTATTTTTAATGAAATTATTGTTTTTTTCTTGTATATGTTGGTAAGTTCCCCTTTTTTGTGTTGTGTGTTAGATAATGTGGAGCTTACTAGGAAAGATGAAATCTCGAAGGATTGTTCAATAGTCGATAAATTTTCAAGTTCTTCTAAATCAGTCAGTGGTTAAAAAAACATAGCTATGGTTTTGCCATTTATTAATAAATTTAAAAAAAATCCGTCCTAATCGAACCTCATCGGTCCAGTTTTTTGTTCGTCGACTATGTGTTCTCTTCACTGTCGTGTAAGAACAATTTCAGCAACAATCTCGCCGACTTACTCCGGACGATGATGGCATAGACCATCGAAAGATCGAGTTCGAGTTAAAAGGGTTACTTATGCGAAACTTTGGCTTCATACCAAAGAAATTTAAGGATATATATATATATATATATAAAATAGGAAAATAATAGTCAAAATCCGCAAAAAGAAGGAAAGTGGATTTTGACCATTATTTTCCTATTTTTTGTTATATACCTTTCTCCGCATGATCATTTTCTCTCTGCCTCTCTCTCTCTCTCTGTATATATATATATGAAGTAGGAAAATAATGGGCAAATCTGCAAAAAGGAGGAAAGTGGATTCGAGCAGAAAATATGATAGGTAACCCGAGCGATACGTATTTCTGCTGGTCGGCTTCAGCAGGCCCGAAATGAATGCACATTTGCAACTACAAAAGTAGATACACATGCCCACACATCCGGATACGGGTGTAACCTGGGAAAACGCAGATGGGGAAAAACCTCGAATTTTCAAGGAGACATCTAACCACAACCTATTCTACGTCCTGGTTTAGTTTGGGTCTGGAAATTCTGTGTGTTTATTGCTTATAATGTGCTCACTAAACGTCTAAAATCTTAACTCAGTACCTTTACCCGCTCCGTATATATATATATTTTTCAATTTCGTAAATAAAACTTCATTACTCTGTCTCTCGGTAGGGGCAACATCTTTGGATCTCTATTCATAAGAACTTTTCTTTGTTATTTTTTTTATGTACTTTCTACTCTAGAAATATTGGCTCGTCTTTATGAAGCACCCTGTATAATGAAAATATCAGGGGTATTAAGACAGATCCCTGTGGTACACCAAAACGGATTTTTTGTGCGGTATATATCCGCTATCGGCGATTATTATCGGTGTCGTCGAAATTCCTGCATCGGTCGATCTCTATTCATAAGTAATATCATAAGGACATCTAATTTTTCCGGAAATAATAATCAAAAAAACACAAGCATGATTTATGGTGGCAACAAAAATCCGAGACGAGGACCTTCCACCTGCACGAATGTTTTTTGTTAAAAAAAAATATTACTTTGCATTGTTTTTTCGATTTTTTTTCACAGCAAAAAATTAGATGTCTGAATGGTATTAGGCAAGACTATTTTATAAGTAACAGATTATCTGTTGCCCTGTGAGACCATATTTCAAAGGTATTGTAATGTTTGGTGACAACAGCTGTCAAGTTTTACCGCGGTAAACTCGAAAAAAAACTGCTGACAGGAGCTGTCATACAATTTTCCCATCTAGAAACCATCTGTAATTCAAAATTGCGCGTTTGTGATTGGTAGAAATTAAGGCGAAGGAAATAGTGATTTAAAATCATGCCAAAACGAAATTAAATACCTTTGCGGCGGGTTGAGAGTATGCAACTCTAGTTTAACGTTTTTCTTTATTAGCAGAACGTGCATTTGAACTTTGAACAATGCGTTTATCGGCAGGCCTCAAGTCAATGCATATTCTTTAAAAATTTATTTTACAGGTAGATTATACTAATGGTGATCAAGCCACAGATAGTGAAAATTCGGACATAATAAGTGGAAGCGAAGATGAGCTGCCGACTGTTAAACCATCAAAGAGGGGTAGGACTAAAAATGATGTCAGTGTCACTGAAAATGGTGCTATTGAAAATGCAGATACTGCAACTCCAATAAAATCGAGTAAGGGTAGAAAAAGGACTCAAAAGGTTGTGCAGGAAAATGGTGATGCAGAAAAAACTGTGAAAGGAGAAAACGTTAAAAAGCGTAATAGAAATGGTAAAGCCACGAACAAGGAAGACGAAAAGGTTTGTATCACTGATTTTTTAAACCGCTATCGCCATCATTGATTAGTGTAATGTCAAAACCCAAACTTTTCATTGTGGTCTCAGTACTGAACGAAGATAAAAACAGTGATAGGACATTTCTGCGTTGTGTTCTTCTAAGTGTTAAAACTCATATCACCTGATATTTTGGGGAGCTGCCCTTCCGCATCTATCTGGATACTCCCATATGTCCAAGAATCTACATGCCAACAGCATTTGACGTAGTGAGGATTGAATACCAGTGCTTCCAAAGCGATATTCCCTGATAACAGTGATATCATTCACATATACTAAATGACATAGAAAATGCAACACCGACTAGGAGTGCTGTAATTTTGATCATACTTTTACAAGTTTTAGGTCTACTGATGAATAGACAGTGATTAAAATTTTAACTCGAAATTTCTCAAAATAGGTGAGATATCCCACGTTAATATTAATAATGTGTTGGAGCTACTCTGTTAGTTGCGCCATTGATTGGATTAGCTGATTGATGTCTTCTTGGTGTATTGTATCCCAGGCCATCTGAATTTGGTTTCGTAGAGCCTCCAATGTTTGTGGATGCGATGAATTTTTCGACCTTCTTCCTATCATGTCCCCTACATGTTTGATGGGGGAAAGGTATGGAGATCGAAGAGGCCAATGAAGCAGATTTACCTTGGAAAAAGTCTAAACTAACACGTGCGACATGAGGTCATGCATTTTCCTGTTGAAGAAGTGTATCTTGCAATGTTTCCATAAAGGGAAGCAGATGCGGTTGTAAAACTTCGTGGTTATAGCGCATTCCATATTCCATTCAAGTATCTCCCTACTCCATACCAATCGTTGCCGACGATGCTGTAGGGTCAGAGGTAGTACAAGATGGGGATGGTATGAAAACAGTCCAAAAGACCTTATTCGGCGATCAACTGTCCTCATTGTTATTGCCCTTTCGACAGCATCAAACCACTGGTTCGCAACTGCCCTTGTTATGGAAAATCTATCACTTAACGCTAGTTGCCTCAAATAACGATCCTGTCGCTCTGTAATGTGTCTTTGATGTCCAGTACCTCTAACTTGTCGATTTCTGCCTTCTCGGAACCACGCTCGATAACATGTCATTAGAGTACCTTCGTTTCGATTCACCCGATAATCATTTTCTCTAAAAGAAAATCCAACTTCACACAACCCGATTATCCGACCCCTCTCAAACTCGGAAAGTTGAGTGCAATTAGCGCGTTTGCGAACTCTAGGCATGATAATGCAATGAAACAACAATGAAACAAATGTAACCAACACAGAAAAATCACAGAATATTAAGTAAAGATAGTCACATTGTTTGGATCCTGATATGACAGAAAAGCCTTTACAAAAAGAGTACGACTAGGAATGCGTTCAACATTTTATCAGCGTATACTTCCATGATAGCGAATATTTTTACAAGTTTTTATCAAAATTCAATAAATAATTCTCGGTGTTGCATTTTATATGTCACTTAGCATATATCGTTTTGAAAATGTACGGGGGAAGGTATGAACTATTTTTACGTATGCTTCAGCACATTGACGTCTAATGTACGTTGCAGCTGAATTAGCGGATAACACCTTTATGTCAGTTCTTCACTCTTAGCAATAGTGAATCTGCTGAAACTCAAGACCACCTCTATTGACTCATTGAACGCCTACCGCCTTTTTGTAAAATTTCAAGACAAAATTGTGGATATATATTTTATTTACTTCGATGCATTCCGTGTTAGGCAAACCTGATGTAATTCAACACAGAACCCAGAACTGTTAGCCCTAAATAGTTAGAAGTTAAAAGTTACTATCATCATGGCACAGCACCATTGGAATAAAGGAGGTCAGATTGGCCAGTTCTGGATGTACGAAGTTCGACACGGTTATGGTGGCAGACCGAAGTCCGGCGGATCTGTCTGGAAGACACATCGCGGGCCGAGCAGGCAGTGCGCGAAAAAATCCGCCCGGTCGTTGGTGTAGCCGTAGAAGAGAGCTAGATCGTCGACGGCCCGCTGTTGCGAAAGGGTCCCCAAAACTGTCCGTTAGAGAAGAGTCATCGATCAGTCGGACAGCACTCCTCTAAACATTATCAAGCGTGGACAAAGTACTCGGAGTGGCAGCGCCCCAAACACATGAGCAGCACTGGAGGCCAGGCCTTATCTGGGATTTGTACAGAGTGAGGAGGTCATGTGGAGAAAAGTACTTCTTAGCCCTAAACAAATAGCCTAGCCTTTTTGCAGCAGCTGCCGCTGTTGACCAGATGTGTTCGTGCCAGATCAAGTACTCGGTGATCTGACCAGATTGTTGCGTCCCCAAGCAGTGATAACATCCAGGTCTCTCGTCAGAGAAACTAGACATCTTTTCGCCAGCAGACATCTGCTTGTCACTCTGAATCCCTGCATGTGGAGTGCTGTCATCAGCAAAGCTGGCATTGAATTGAACGTGCAGGTAAATGAGGTCGTTGATATGTAAGAGGAACAATGTCGCAGCCAAGACCGATCCCCGAGGGAACACATTTGTTGACGTTGTGGGATGAAGATGAGAAGTCGTCAACCGCGACTGAATCTAAAATGTATTTTCAAGTTCATTGTAATAATTTTGTAATTTGATCTATCCCAAATGGTTTATGCGTGTCTTACTAAGATAATAGTTCAGTTAATCGAAAAACAAACTTCTTCAGGTGGAAGAAGATGATGGTATGCAAGGGTGGACCCAAGCAATGAGGGATATCGCGCTAAAGAAGAAAGAACGCCAGGACAAGAAGCCTGTCAGTACAAGATGTCGTGTTAAATAATTATAACACCCTTAAATAATGTACTTTGTTCATTACGTTGTCAACAGCCGTATAAGTATAATTTTGTTATTCAGCAATTTTATAACGGTTAAATTCACTTTTTTGTAAGACAGTGATGTGTACAAGAATAATTTATATACATTTTTTTACAGGCCGGCTTATTATAGTGTCTCGTCCAAATACCGTATATAACACACCTCCTAATACATAATAAGTAATGTTATATTCCCGGCATTCCAGACAGTAGCTTCGGCCAACAAAGTTACCCACCTATCAACACTGACTTTCTGTTGAAAATTAATGCATATGTGGACGAGGTTTGAAGTTGTCCACCTCTAATTAGACACTTGTATTATTAACAAGCTTTCAATCCATTTTCATTTAGATATAAGGTTTTTGTGAACGAATAAGTTTTTTATTTATTTATTTCAATAACTGGATAACTGCATTTTGCCTACAACCGAAAGCAAACGAATTCACTTCCGAAATACCGACCTTATTGCTGCCTCTCACCAGGGCACTATGGCAACATCGCCAACAACCCTAGATTCAAATCTAATGTATGCCCTGTTAAATCAAACATCATCCGCGCGATGTTCAAATTATAGCGTTTCTATTGGCCAGTGCGACATACATGCCTGGGAAACAACGACAAAATAGAAGCGACAATCGAGTTCTGATTGTTATTACTCGGAGTTAGAGGTTTGAATAGACCTTAGTGGCATACAGAAAATATAGCAATGTGTATGTGAAATACTCATCTAAATTTGAAAAGTTGAGGCAAAACACGTAGTGGCAATTTTGGCGACATCAGCAGACCGCTATCACCGTAGGACACTGCCGTATATTTCAATAAATTAGTTTAGCTACGACTTCTGGCGGCATAGCCTTGGCGTGAGGGCCGCAATCGACAATGCGCGAGAAAAACGCCGTGCGCATAGGCTCCGAGTACTCCTTCCTTTATAAAATATTTACTTTTGTAAGATATGACATGTACGGAAATGAATGAGCTGGTGGAATCTTTGTATGCATTAAAGTTTCAAATATACGTTTTCTACTAAATTTGTATTTTTTGAATAGTCACACACAGGACTGTCCTTGGTGTAAGGTACGTTTTTTCTGACACCCTTTCATATCGATTGAGCTAGGAATTATTCATCAATCTCACATCGACCAATTAGTGCGACCTCTGACGCCACTCTCCGTGCAGGTGCGTGCCTCAGCCTTCCCAGGGGCGCACAAGACAACCGTTGCCACTTTCACACAAAGGTGGGTAATCAAGGGATTCACGCCACTATCGATGCATGGTGTAGAGATTCGTTATGCCAGAATCAAAATATCTTTGGAGTCATTTTTGGCCAATGATTAACGTGGACCTCTTACGTCAACAGACTAGCACAGAAAGCTATAATAGCCCTAGGAATATGTGGACAGATGTGCAAGAGAAATGGGGGTTACACTCAAACATGATCATGTGGTTCCTTGAGCACCTCGGGGCCATGCATACCGCTCCCACTGCAGAGTTGGAGGTCCTTCTCTACCTACCAATATTACTCATATTTGTTCAGAGTTGTGTTCTTTCGGTGGTTTACAGACTAACGCGAAGGTCAATCACCGATAAGTCAGCAGCACAGAAAAAAACATCACGGAGTTGAAGGTAGATCCTATATTGGTAATGCCTATGGACAGGAAGCTGAGGTTGCTGGTAGTGAGTTGGACAGGAGCGGTGAGGAAGGGAGAAGGAAAATGAACAATTCCGTCCGTCTTTATTAATTGATATAATAATTGCATTGTATTCCTTTTTACTAGCTCATCACTTTTGGTTTATATTAACGATTGTATCTTAACCCTTTCAAGGCATATTTTTAAATTTTTAAGCTATTTCATTTATAGCTGAAAAAAATGAAGTGATAAGATCTCAAAAGCATTAAAAATAGCCCAGAAAATTTTTCCATTTGGAGAAAAAGGAATTAGTAGGTGGTATCACCATGATACCACCAAGCACTAAAATAATACAATGCAGATATTACTGAAACGTATATTTAATTAAGATAATGTTATAAAAAGGAGTTTGAAGTAAAAACATACAATTTATTTGCTATGATATTTTTCAAAGCAATTTTTTTGGTCAGTGAGACACAAACCGACATTGCAAGTACTGCACCACCATCGCGTACGGTGTTGTTCCGCTTTTGTGCTGCAAAATGCACGTCTTCATCTGACCCATTTTGATCATCCTCCGATTCATTTCCTGAAGGTATGTCCTCAAAAAATACATTCCTGTACTCTTCATAGGTCATATTTTCCAAATCTTTGTAAGACCACTTTTTCCCTGAAACAAAATCCCCAATCAATTAGTCACTATCCACGTAAGCAGCTAACTTAGTAAAATAATTGAATCAAAAACAAAAGTACACCGACCAATAAACAAACATACCAACAACATACAAGTAGCCCACCAACCAATAGTCTAAATAGTTTTTCCATCGACTTCTATCCCGCCGCAAACTTCACAATTACCGAACTGACGGCAGATCAACTAACCCAGCAAAACAACCAAGTTACTCAAAAACAGAAAAATACGCCCACTAATTACAGAAAACACACTGCCAAACATACAAGGCAAAAATCCAAAATCACCGAAAATATTAGGCATTGATTGCTATGTGGTATCAATTGACACCACCTTAATTTTATTCAAAGCAACCAATAAAAATATATAAAATCGCGTGTGCCTATGATAATAACATAAAACAATACCTAATACAATAAAATATAGTACTTACCCGCCATTCTGTCCTTATTTTTTGAAATAAACACTCAATTTATGACCACGCACGCCATTGACCTGCACACTGCGAAAACAAATCGATAAATGTCAAATAACAAACTGTTAGGAATCGCGTCCTATGTAAATAATTTTTTTCATACTAGTTGGCAATATAGTGCTACTTCTTACACGGTGGTATCGGCAGATAACCACTCCGCAGCGCCGTGATAAATTATTAAAAACGTGGTTTCATGGTGACACCACAAAGCTTGAAAGGGTTAATTATGAGTCAGTCATTCAATCTCAGTCACAGCGAACACACACACTGTAATTCCGGTTCGGTCCATGTAAACTATTGTTGGAATCAAATAAAGTTTTTTAAAAACGAAGTTTGAAGTTTCGACTACATAATTCTAGATACCGTAAAATTTGATAAACCAGAAATCCCAAGTTTTGTCGCCAATGCACCCGAAGATGCACAAGCAAGAAGGCGAACCAAAACAAGCAAAAGCGACAGGAACTCAAAGGAGTTCCAGTGATATTGACAATGACCTGCTGACGTAAGAGTACAATGCAGGACTGGATGACGCATCAAAAAGCCATGAAAAATGCATGAAGTTGAACAAGGAGGTAGAATGGCCAGAAACATGCTTCAAGGTGACTAAGGTAGTTACGTGGTAATTTAGTGCTTCCTTGAAGGCCGCCAGTACGCTGATACTGGTAAACGACACAGAGGAGGGACGGCAAAGTGCTACCGCATCTCAGCTCTTAAAAATGAGGGAGAGCAAATCAAGTACGTCGTTAAGACAAACAGCAGCGTTGTCTCAGATGGAGATTGTGACGACCTCCAAGTGCAGAGCGAAAAGCTATCAAGGTTGCTGAACACAAGGAGCAGGACAGCTCTCTAAAATGGTAGAGCGAGCTCTAACAGTAGTTTAAAGGCAGAATTCAAAAACCCTAAACTCTTGCGACCTCAGGTTGCGACGATATGCTATTCTTGCATTTACCCCTTCCGAGGTATTGGAAGGGGTAAATACAAGCATATTGAGATTTATAGGGGGAGGCAGGTGATGATAAGACACGCTGAAACTGCAATTGAAAAGTGGGAGGGCCAAAAGACAGGGCCGAACAAGGACACCCTTATAATTAAAACAGATCAGGGTGAGAACTCCTACGCTAATACGCTTAGGAGACTGAGGAAAATATAAATTTACACGAAATAGATGAATCGGTGCTCAATGTGAGACAGACGAAAAAAGGTAGAATTGAGTTTAAGGCGGCAGAAAAAATAGAAGGTGCTGCTAAAAAGCTTTTGACTCAAGTCGAAGGTATTTTAGGTGCCAGAATTCTGGCCGAAGCACCATAAAGGACTGTTGCAATCATACTACGTGACTTTGAAAAAAACATAGATAAGGAAGAGATCCGTCGAGCTGTCGAAGAGGCTCTGCAGCAACCAAATGTTGCGGGTCTACAGGTCTTTGAGCCAAAAGCACCTGCAAGTGGGAAGGAGCCTTGCACTGCTCTGATGATGCATCCTGAAGAGCGTGGACGTATTCTGCTGGAACAGCGGCAGATTAAAATTGGATGGAGCAGGTGCAGAATAACTGAAAAAGTCTCTCCAGCGAGATGCTAAAAGTGCCAGCTCTTTGGCCACGCTGAGACAGCAAGCACGTTGCATCAATGAGATGAAGTGCTACGTGTGCGGCGAGAAAGGGCATCGCGCAGACAATATGGCCTGCGCGAAATACAGGGAGGTCGTGGAACAGCCTCGTTCTACTTCTAAACACTAAGCAGCTAACACAGCTGTGACACAAAAAGGCGACGCCTGTAATAATTTCAAAGAAAACTGATGAGCCTGCTTAGGATAAGGGATTTCAGGTTGTCACAAACAGAAAAGATAGACGAACGGATAGAAGCAACATTCCCACAACACAAACATAAAGATAATACAAGCACACTTAAACAGGTGCAGATCGGCACACGATTCGCTGGGTCAGTTCGCAAAATAAAATTCAATTGATGTTGCTCAGGGGCTTGATTCTAAATGAGTTTCGACCGTTGAAATTGATTTCGATGACGCCTTGTGACGATATACTTGATTAGCTATGATAATTTTGAGACTGCCATGATAATTTGAATTTAGAAAATCAATATAATCAGATGTCAAAATTATCATAGCGAATCAAGAATATCGTTACAATATTAGACTGCAGAGATGAGGTCGAAAAATAATAAGACATGTAGTAGACGATTGTTCCTATAACAGTACTTCCAGAATGCAGAGGATTTAGTTTTAAATACAGATTTTAATTAAGTAGAGTGTTTGTGCCAAAGAGTAGTTTTATTCAGATAGTTAAAAACACTGTTTGGTCTCGTAACATATTTATTGACGAAACGCAAAAACTAAAAAGACAAAAAGCTGCATGCGTTAACGTAAGTTCACCACCTCAGGACTGACATTAAAAAAATTTTGGCCCCTTCTAATATTTTTCACATTTCTGCAAGTTATCGTTTCTTTTTTCCCGAGCATATTCGGCTTGAATCATTTTCAAAAAAATGTATGATTTTTCTTCAAACTTCTGTCCATATACGATCAAAAAGTCTGTTTTTCTTAGGATATACGAGACGCGTAGCTACTAGAATCTTAAGTCTTTCTTGAAAACGGTATTGTTTTATTAGGTTCCTTCTTTCTTCTCTATTATTTTTGACTAATACATTTTATTTGTTTAGATAAAACTGTTCCAAAAAATAAGGTATACTTAATCTCATTTGAAATTATTTGGGCATCAGTCATTCTCTGAACGTTAGAATTTGGAGAATCTTTGGGTTTCGATTTCTATAAAGCCTCTGCTTGTATTATTCTTTCTTAGCTTTTTCTTTTTTAAGTTCTTTCTTTAGTTTTTGAATCTCTAATCTCAACTGTCTTCCGTTTCTTCTTGATCTTTTTTACCCGCTGTGGATCGCCCTGATGTTAGCGTCTCTGAAATATTTTTTGCGTACGGGTTTGCACAGAATTTTCACGCACCGAAAGTGAGCCTGAAGTGAATGTCAGCTAGTTCAAAGGCGATATTTTATAGAAAAACTTACATAATGTCAAAAAAACTACATAATATAAAAAATCCATTTCTTGTCAGTAATATGGCTGTCGGACACCCACCGCACCGCGGACCCTACTAACGCTCACCTTGATCCACCCCGAGTATGTAGCCTCGAAGGAGAGTGTCTCTGCCATTAGGTGGATTAAGTGATGTGGCCTGGTGAAATTAAGTTCGCAAGTATATCTGACAGATAC